TGCTCCAACAGGACCAAACATGGGCTCAAGACGGCCCAGGATGCCCCCGCAAAGACCTCCAATACGGCCTCAGCAGGTTAAAAACCTTATCTTTCCATTGGTTTTTGAACGACTCTGTGCTTCTCGCCTATTCTGGCCACGAACGGCCCAAGAATGGTCTGCGAGCTTCCGAGGTCGCCCCGAGATGGCCTCCAGGCGGCCCAATGGGGCCCCAAGATGGGCCAATAAAGCGCCAAGACAGCCAGGGAGCGCCCAAAAGACCCCTAAAAGACCTCCAAGAGGGCCCCAACAGAGCCACGGGATGCTTCAGAGAGGGCCCGAGAGAGCCCCAACACGGCCCCAGGACGGCCCAAGCCCCCCCAGACAGCCCACGAGGGCCCCAGGACAGCCCAAGGAGGCCCTCCGATGGTATACAAAAGCACCAACAGGAGCTCCACTCAGTCTTAGAGCCGTCAAATTCATTACACTCTGATTGACCTGAGCCGTCGCCCTTGGCTCGGCTGGCCCGCGCGCCGAATGGGCCCGCGTGGCAGAGAAGGAAAAGGAGCAGGATGCGGGACGGAGGAGAAAAAGGAGGAAGAGGAAGGAACGGTGAGGATTGCGAGAAACAGGAGGGGCCCCAGGAAGACGGAAGGAGGGCACGGAGGAGCAGGAGGAAGGGAGGGCAAACGGCGGAAACAGAAAACAGTTTTCACTGGGCCCCGTGCTCTCGCCGAGGCGCCGGCCACATCTCTCATTCAATATCGTGTTGCCGCTTCGCTCGCGGGACTCCCAACCTCTACCAGGTCAGCACCCCGTCCCCCAGCATGCGGCCGCCGACTTTCCTCTCAATTCTTGACGCTTCGCGTATCCCCACCAGCGCGCTGTGCCCCAGCCTCGGTCTTACGCCCTGTGGACTTTTCCTTGCGGGCCGCTAATCAAAAAAAGTATCCCCACCAGCCTGGCAATTATCTCGCTTGGCCCCCGTAGCTTGCTCTCTCTGGCGCACATGCACTCCGGCGTCGGTTTTTGGCCCGCTGGCAATTATTTGCGTGCTGTCCCATGCTCGAGCATTTATCTGCTCGCCGTCCTGCTTTTGCTGGGCCTAATGGGGTTCTCCCCTCGCACGTGCATCCCGGCGTTGGCTTTTGGCCCGCTGGCAATTATCTCGCTTGGCCCCCCAAGCTTGCTACGCCTCTCTGGCACATGTGCACTCCGGCGTTGGCTGTTGGCCCGCTGGCAGTTATCTTGCGTGCTGCCCCATGCTCGATACGACCCGCTCTCTGGAATCGTCCTTGGAGCCGCAGATCAAAAAAAATATCCCCACCAGCCCCACCGCAGCGCCAGGCCTCGGCCTTAATGCCCCTGTGCCACCTCTTCTGGGGCTGAGGTGCACCAATACCCATGCGCTGTGCACTAGACAGCCCACGCTGGCCTCGTGGCTCACTTCGTATGGCGGGTGGTGGCTGAAATAACCCACCCCCCGTGTACCACTGAGACACCCACTTTGCTCCCCCTGGGACACTTACTTTGGACGGCCGGGGAGGGTGGCCATAGGCCCACCCCACGCGCTCCACCTGGCTCCAACGCGTTGCACCTCACGTGCTTCCCCCCCGACGACGCTGCCCTGCAGCTGGGACATAGCGTCCCCCAGCTTGATCAGGCGCTGTTCCCCCCGCTACCGAGGTCCCACCGCCACGCGCCGTGTGTTCACAGTGGCCAAGGTCACGCTGACATGGCGTCGCCTTCCCCTCCTCCTTTGATTCACCTGACTTTGCGGCCATCGGCTGCGTCTCCTCCTCCCCCCACTCCTCCTCCTGCGGTTTCGGCCACACACGATTTCCCCCCCCCCCCCGAGGCTCTACGAGCACTCGGGTCTTTGCACCACCTGGCGGCTCCCTGGCTGAGCCCCGAGGCGTGGTCGGGCCGCGCTGCCGCCTCGTGTTGTTCTGACAACTCGGGCCTCCGCCTGCCCCGACACCACCGGGGGCCGGACCTGGGGTGAGTGCGGTTCGGCAAGTGGTTCACCCTTTGCGCGACTATCGACGTTCCCCCTTCTGGTCCACCACGGCCCCCGTCTGACGCACGCCGCTTGGTTCCCCCGTCCTCCGTGATGGTTAAGCTGCCTGCGTTGTTCGCCGACGACGTGGTCCACCTCTGGGCGGGAGCCTCCGTCGTGCTCCTGATACTGCTCAAGTGGTTCATCCTTTGTCAGTACTCGCGCTCTCCTACGAGGGGACCATGGTGTTAGGCCACGCCTGCTGCTGTTCCCCCGACACTCCGGGTCTAGCAGTCTAGGTTCGGACTCCGCGGCTGCATCGACGTCAGTGCATTGGTCAATGGCTCACGGCGACTCGCGCCCATGAGTTCTAGTGAGTGAGTGAGTGAGGCTTCCCCTGCCACCCCTCTTCTGCCCGCGCCTTCCCCGCTCTCTTGCCTCCGAGTGGTGAGCGGTGCGGCCCCACGTGCCCACTGCCCTGCCACTTGGCTGTTTGGCCCTTGCCTGCACTCTCTGGACTGCACGGTTTGAGCTGGCGCCACTGTGCGTCTTCTCTCCGTCTACTCCAGTCTGGTGATGGCGTCCCCGTTCTCGGGTCGCTTGCATCGTAATGGGAGGCATTTTGGCTCTTGCAGGTGCACTCGCTGCGTCGGCCTATGCGCCTTCGTAACCAATTATCTCGTCTGTGCCCCAGACGTGCTTGCCCCGCTTCCTGGACTCTTCCTCGGAGCCGCCAATCAAAAAAAGTATCCCCACCAGCCCGTCCAGAATTGATTGCCAGCTTTCCCGAGGCCTGTTGGAGGCTATCCTGAGCCATGTTCGGCTAGAGGCTGTCGGAAGCTATTCTGAGCCATGCTCGGCTATGTCGGGCCATATTCAGGCTGTCTTGAGGCCTCTTGGAGATCTGCCGGAGGCTATATTGAGCCATGCTTGGCTACCTTGGGCCATTTTGGAGGCCATCTTGGGCTATCTAGGGCTCTCTTGGAGCCATCTTGGGCCAAAAATGGCGGGGTGGAGAATCTTCAGGAGAGGCTGGGAGGCCTCTCGGGGCCGTCTTGGGCCCCATTGTTCAAAAAGAGCGGGGGTCCTCAATTCAGGCCCCCCCCATCGGAGGCTCTCAAACGGCGTCTTGGGGACGTGTTGGAGCGTTCTTTGGAAGCCTCTTGGGCGATCTTGGGGCCGTCTTGGGCCTTCTTGGGCCCCTCGCGGGGCTTTCTTGGGCCATCTTGGGGCCATCTTGATGCCTCAGGGGCCCGTCGGAAGCGAAAAGACGAGAATGCCAAACACATTGGCTTTCCTTAAGCTTTTGAAGGGTTCTGGCTTCTTGGAGGGCTCGAAGGGCACTTGGATCCGTCTTGAGGACTCCTGGAGGTGTGTCGGAGGCTATCTTGACCCATCTTGAGGTATCTTGGGCCATCTTGGAGGCCATCTTGCGACTTGGAGCGCCTCTTGGAGCCATCTTGAGCCATCTTGGACGCTCTAACGCCTCCATCCCCCCCCCCTCCAGGTCCAGGGGAAGGTTCCCCCTCCCCCGAGCAGGGGAAGGAAGGGGAAGAGAGAAGACCAAACTCGCTATACCACCGTAGCCCTAAAGGGCTGGTGGGACTTCCACCTATAGACTTCCAGCCTCCATCAGCTCAGCACTCCGACCTCTAGCGTCCGGCATCCGACTTTCCACCTTCACCTCCACTCAAGCGTCCACCAACGCTGCGCCCTGAGCCCCGCCCCGGGCGCTACCGCGCACTCGCCTCGCCTCGCCTCCGCTCGCACAGTTCCCACACACCTCATTGAACAATTGTGTTCTCGCCCGCGCCCAGAAACATCGTAGGTGCAAGGGTCAAGATTGGAAGGCGAAGCGCAGCGAGCCTTAAAATCTTGTACACGTATAGATATACACCTATATAACAAAAAACAATCATATAAATGTGTATCTATGTAAATACGCATGAACCTGATGTTCCTCATCACCATAACCATGATCCACATCAGCACCAGCACCATCGGCATCGTCATCATCATCATCATCATCATCATCATCATCATCATCATCATCAGCAGCAGCAGCAGTATCATCATCATCATCATCAGCAGCAGCAGCAGCATCGTCATCATCATCATCATCATCATCATCATCATCATCCACATCATCACCAAGAACATCATCAAGAGCACCACCATCATCGTCGTCATCAGCCTCATCATCACCATCACCATCATCATCATCATCATCATCAACATCATCATCATCATCAGCATCATCATCATCATCATCATCATCACTATCACCATCATCACCACCAGCACGACCACCATCATCATCAGTATCATGACCACCACCCTTATCAATATCATCATCATCTTCATCACCGTCACCATGATCACCATCACCATCAGCACCATCACCATTCCAACCCCACATCTCAACCGCCACAATCATCACAACCATCATCACAATTGTCATCATCACGACCACATTCAGCATTACCCTGATCATCCCCATTATGCGTCTCCTCATCATCAGCAGCAGCATCGTCATCATGAGCACCATCATCATCACCGTCACCATCATCATCATCATGATCATCAGCATCACCATCGACATCATAACCATCAGCAGCACCAGCACCAGCATCAGCACCAGCATGAGCATCAGCATCAGCACCAGCAGCATCAGCATCATCAGCATCATAATCAGCATCAGCAGCATCATCGCCATCAGCATCATCACCAGCATCACCACCAGCACCAGCTCCCTCCTCCTCCTCCTCATCATCATCATAATCATCAGCAGCATCATCAACATCATCACCATCAGTCTTCTTCTCTCGTCCTCCTCCTCCTCCTCCTTCTCCTCCTCCTCCTCCTCCTCCTCCTCCCCCTCCCCCTCCTCCTCCCCCTCCCCTTCTCCCTCCTCCTCCTCCTCCTCCCCTTCCTCCTCCTCCTCCTCCTCCTCCTCCTCCTCCTCCTCCTCCTCCTCCTCCTCCTCCTCCTCCTCCTCCCTCCTCCTCCGGGGGGCACGGGC